GTCATAGTCAGACGGAAGAACATCGACTCCGTCATCATCGACTGGGGCTCGGATTCTTCTTTTCCACCACTTTCCATGCAGCTACCATTAAGTAGGGTGGAAAAGTGTTCCCTCCATAATTTAAGTACGTTCTGAACATCGGACATTTTCTTACAGGAGTACGCCCTGGTCTTGAAACCTTCCGTAAGCCGCCTAATTCTCTGGAAAAATTTTCGGGCATTCTTCTTGTCGGCCAGCATTTCAAGCTCTTCACACTAACGTATTTCGGCCTCTCATATTGCGGCAAATACTTCCCTTTTCAGATCCCTATAGCGGTCCCACATAGCGCGCGTTGCGCCCAATCGCTGTGTGGCCCTGTGGCGGCATCTGTTTTTTCTACAGCTTCCTGTCACTCCTCATCGTACCAGTTGCTCTTTCAGGCTCGCTAAAATCCAACTACTTCCTCGTCGGCGGTACTTAATGAGCGGGAAATGTGGTTCCACTGCTCGCATATGTCGGTTTGTGGAAAGGTGCTCTCTGAGAGCAGGTATGAGAGTCGAGTAGCGAATTCATTGGCTGTGTGTTGTGATTACAGCTTTTCGACGTTAAGCTTTCTTGCATATTTGGGCGCACATTTGATACGTTCGCGTATAAAATCATAAATGTATATACGCGAACGTTCATAAATTACCTTTTTGGTTGTTGTTTCCGACAGGGTGGGTGTATGATGTATTATGGAACGAATTTCCGTCATTCCATAATACTTCATATATTGCCTTGCTTATACGATGCTTCAATTCGTTCTAAGTCAAACCATGTTATTTGGACACACACATGTAAACACATTCTTGAATCGAATTGAAACATTTAACCGTGCCACCATAAATCACATTTTGAATGCGAGTTAAGAGTTGTTGAATCGTGTTAAGAGTGTATAAACATGGGATTTGGCCACACGGTTGTTTCATGCAACGCTGTATGTAGTAAAACATTTGAATAGTTCTTGAAATTACATTTAGGCTAAGCTTTGTTATAAAATTAATAGCTAATTTCCTTTTTACAAGGCTGTTTGAGTCTTTGATTATTATTTTTCCGTGTTTATTTTTTTTTAAGAATTGTCACATGTATTAACAAAGTTGTATTGGGATTAACTCTGTTTGAAAGCGTGTTGGATCGACTCATTTCTTTTCTTGCATATAAACACTTGTATTTCAAGCGAGCTACACTGATGCGAGTTAATTCGATACCGCGTTTGATGCCATATAAACAAGGTATATGAATATTTCCGAGCCCTGAATAGCATTGATGATAACAATCTTATTATGTTAAATGCGTGGGATTAACGTTGTACATTTTAACGCCCGTACCTTAAATAGTGTAAAAATGGATTATGTATGTCAGATAAGTGTTCGAGTCCTCCACTGTTGATGTTATATGCGTGTCAGAAACTTGGTTGATTTACTAAGGATATTAGTGATGTTCACTAAGGATATTAGTGATGTTCACTGATTCAAGCGTATGCGAAATGATCGAATCTGCAAAAGACCACATAAGCATGAGTCAAGTACGGAGGAAATTAAGTTTTTATTCGTTGAGTTGTCCGATCTCCTAAAATAAGTTCTTGTCTCTTGTCTACGATGCTTATTGACTATGATAATCTTATACTCTCTGGTAATTTTAGTATCAATATTCTTGTCCGTGATAAAATATGTTCCTCGTTTTCAGGTGATGTCTCAAGTCTTGCTTTCTCCATTGTTAATTCTTCAGCTCCCTTTAGGTTCTGTAAAAATTGTAATCCTAGTCTTCTTGATGAAAAGTGTATACCTTCAGAGACTTTCGCTCAATCGACTTAAATGTATTGTGTTTTGAACTAGAAAATGTTGTTTTGGATGATGGTTGGTATTTTGGCTCTGTAAATGAAAAACTCGGTTTTTATACCCGAGCCCACTAGTGCACAAGGGTATATTAACTTTGTTGTAGACAAATGTATACAAAAGGCTCAGAATGAATAGAGAAGTCGATTAAGCCATGTCTGTCTGTCCGTCCGTCTGTCCGCCTGACCGTCCGTCCATGTACACGATAACTCGAGAAAAAATTGAGATATATCAACTAAATTCGTTTTGTAGGTTTCCCTTTACCCAAGGTAGGTTGGTATTGAAAATGGGCGAAATCGGGCTTTAACCACTATAACGGTATTTTCGAAAAATGCAAAAACTACGATATTTCAGTAAATATTGGATCCAAACTGTTGAAAAATAGTAAGTGAAGTCGAATTTTGGTAAAAAAATAGTATTATTACGAAATTTTTGGAAAATGGGCGTGAACCCGCCCACTTATGATAAAATGCTGAATCTCAGTAGCCGCTTCACCAATCCTTCCCAAACCTGTTGAAAATCTTTGAAATTGGGCAATAACCACGCCCAACTCCCATGTACACGCCCAACTCCCCAGCACAATTATTAACCTTGACATAGAAAATCGATATGTTGAAAATTTTCGAAATCGGACCAAAATTACGCCCACTTTCAACTCCCAAATTGCCCTCGCTAGGGCAGGCACCTTGTCGTTGGTGCGGGGGCTTAGCTGAATTTCCGATCAGCCCATCTCTGGTCTGGGGTTTCGTGGACGCGCTCGTCGCTTCTGCGCTACCTTGTCTCCAGATTGGGGCTGCCGGCAAACGGTGACCAAGAACTGCCACCTCCTAATCCAGGGTGTTACGCGAAACCGTGCCTATTGGACGGTTTGCAGCCAGGAGGGAATAAACCGGCTGTAATATAACGGCGCCTCTTCGACACCGGGCCGCATCGAGGAGTAACGGTGGCCTTACCGCGACATGGGGAGCTGGCGCGGTTGACCAGATGAGATCCTCTTTTACAACTTTGACTGCTGAGCTTGCCTAGCCGAGCTGGCAGTCGTACGAACAAGATGAATACAACTAAAAACCATAAAAACACAAAAACAACAAAAACAACAAAAACCAACGCGAAATCCGCGAAAACAGCTACAGCTACAGCTACAGCCACAACAGCTGCAACAGCCACAACATCAGCAACAGCTTCTACAACAGTCACAACTACAGCTACAACAGCAGCAGCAGCCACGAAGATAGTTATGTCAATGGCACCAAAGGTACCAACGGCCAAGCTCGGCAGTACTATGCTGGGCGAAAGTAAAGGCACCAGGCGCTGGGGAGGCTTTCTTGCGAGCCTATCCGAGGAGGAGGCTGCCCTTTTTATTGAACACGCCAGAGAAGATGAGAGGCCAAGCACTAGCAGTGGCGGCGTGGATCGGGCGCAGCTTCGTTCGGAGGGCACCAAGGGAGCAGAGGCTCTGGCCTCAAAAAGTAGGCACCGATCTCCAAGCAGGAACCGGGAGGCCAGTCGGCGTCGCTCCAGGAGTCGTGACCGCTTCGGGAGCCATGACCGCTCTGGGAGCCGAGGCCGATCCGAGGGCCGGCATCGCTCGAAGAGCAGGCATCGCTCTGGCAGTGGGCACCGCTCTAGCAGTAGGCACCGCAGGTCTTCGCTCGAGTCAGGGTGGCAGCTGCAAGACAGCAAGAAGAGAAGCCGTAGGTGTAGACCGCCTCCACTTCCGCCCTCCGGTCAACCGGGAGCCCTTGACGACTACCATCGAGCTGGTCTTGGTGGGTCGGGAGTCAAGTGGTATCTCCGGTACCTGGAGCAGGGGAAGAAGCCGATCGTAGCCCGCGCAACGGCGGAAGTAAGACAAGAGGTGGAGAAAGAGGCACAAGAGAGTGGTAAGACGGCTGCAACCGCTGGTATGCAGCAGAGAGGTGAACTACCCGCGCCTGCTGAAAAGCAGAGAAGCGGGCAACAGCATCAGATACCCGCGCCTGCTGAGAAGCAGAGAAGCGGGCAACAGCAGCAGAGACCCGCGCCTGCTGAAAAGCAGAGAAGCGGGCAACAGCATCCGAAACCCGCGCCTGCTGAAAAGCAGAGAAGCGGGCAACAGCAGCAGGGACCCGCGCCCGCCAAATGGCGGAGAAGCGGGGAACCCACAGGTACCATAACAGGCTCAACAACAGCTACTCCAAAACGCACCAGCCTACAGGTCACACCACCTGAGCCACCGTCCCCCAAACGGCCGCGGGGGCTCCCAACCCCTCGAACAGATTCTAGGGGCTTGGATGGGTCCGCGGGCCAGGGTCAGCCACAGGAGGGAATCATTAAGCAGCCTAGCTATTCGGATGCTCTTAAAGGCATCCGAGTGGCTGTACTGCCCTGTGATTACCCTGCTGCTGCCCTAAGCCCTGAGGACCTGACCAACCTCCAGGACGCCATCATGGATGAGGTCCTTAAAGGGTGTAAGCACGCACTGGTCTTTTGTGGGGAATTTTTCAGGTCAGGAATGCTCCTTGTGGACTGCAAAGATGAGCGGACCGCAGCATGGCTGGTAGATAAGGCACCAAACATTGAGGGATGGGAGGGGCCCGCGTTATGTACCAAGAGGGGGGGAGGATATCCCGCCGGTGCATAATATCTCGGTGTTCTTCCCAAGATGCGCCGAGAAATCGGCTGAGTACGTGCTGGGGCTCATCAAGGCCCAGAATGAGGACATCCACACGGCTGCGTGGAAGGTGGTTTCATGCGGCGCCGAAGACAACGGTCTCAGGCTCAACCTGGGGATCGATGAGGCGTCGTATGTCAGCATCAAGAGGGCCGGATTCACAATCAACTTCCGTTATAGTTATGTTACGGTGCGGCCATGGCGGCATAAGACGACAGGCAGCAAGCAGTCAGAGTCCCAAGACATACAAGTCGACGAGGCTACTGACTCCACTGCTGCTCCAGCGACCGAGTCGACCATGGCGCCACTGAAAGATCAGCTACCGGAATTAGCACAGGCACCAGCTCTTGTGAGTGCTCCCGGGCCAAGTGCCACTGACTACGTGCGCACCACACAGGAGCTCCTAGCGGACATAGGCAGGCTCGAACTCGACAGAGAGGGCGAGGGTGAGGCACGGCTCTCGAACATCGAGGACGAGCCCCAACTATGAGCCCAACAGCGCTAACAGTAGCCCAGGTCAACTTGCATCATGCGGTGGCCGCCTCGGCGATCATTGCAAGCAGGTTTGCCACGGAGGACCTGGGAATCCTACTGATACAGGAACCGTGGACCTACAGAGGCCAGGTGAGGGGCCTCAATCATAACAACAATAAGGTAATTTGGGACCTTTCCTGCGAGAGGCCCAGAGCGTGCGAAGTGCTAAAGAATAATATTAATTACTTTTGCATTACAGAATTTCTTACACAGGATCTGGGCGCGGTCCAAGCTACCTTAAGGGTCAACGGGAAGGAACTGGAGGTGGTCTTAGCTGCAGCCTACTTTCCGGGGGATAACGCCAACGTGCCGCCTCTTGAGGTACAGCAGCTGCTGGAATTTTGCCGCAGGAAACGACTTCCGGCGATTCTCGGCTGCGATGCGAAAGCCCACAATATAGAGTGGGGCAGCTCGGACATAAACCGTAGGGGTGAGTGCTTATTAGAATATATTATCAGTGAAGACCTGTGCATCCATAATGTCGGTAAAGAACCAACGTTCATAACTAGGGTCAGAGAGGAGGTACTTGACATCACTCTCAGCAACAGACTGGCCAGTCCTCTGATCGTTCAGTGGCGGGTCTCATTTGAGCCCTCACTGTCGGATCACAGGATTATCCGATTTGCACTGGGAGCTGAGGCTCTGACAGGTCACCCAAAGAGGAACCCCAGGAAAACAGACTGGGATAAATACGAAGAGGTACTTAGGTTGAACCTAAGCAGAATAGAGGCACAACATAGAAAGGTGGATTGTATGGAGTTAGAGGACAGGGTCAACAAGCTGAACGGCACTATTCTGGATGCCTTTACCTCCAGCTGTCCCGTGTCAAAGCCAAAGGGGAAAGCTCAGCCTCCCTGGTGGACACGGAAACTCTCAGTTCTTAGGAAAGATGTGCGAAGACCTTTCAACAGGGCAAAGCGCACCGGGAACTGGGAGGAGTACTCAGTCTGTCTAACAAAATACAATAAGGAGATTAGGAAGGCCAAGCGTAGCAGCTTCAGAACCTTTTGTGAGAACATCGCATCTACTCCTGCAGCTGCTAGGCTGCATAAAGCATTAGCGAGAGACAACACAGGGACCAGACTGGCTATTAGGCTACCTAATGGGGCCTTTTCAGGTAATGAACAGGAAAGGGCACGCGCCCTGCTATCGGCCCACTTTCCGGACGTTGTTCCGTGCGTTCAGGCCATCCCCACCGGACTGGAAGTTGGCTAGAAGCCTTATAAACCGGCAAACAGTGCGGTGGGCTCTGGACTCCTTCGAACGGTACAAGGCCCCTGGGGTGGATGGTGTATGTCCGGCGTTGCTAAAGCAGGGCGGGGAGCTCTTACTTCCACATCTTGTGGACATTATGAGGGACAGTCTAGCACTGGCTCACATTCCCAAGGTGTGGCAAAGGGCCAGGGTTATTTTTATCCCGAAGGTAGGTAGGAGGGATTACTCTCTTGCCAAGTCATTCAGGCCGATAAGTCGCACATCCTTTATGTTAAAGGCAATGGAGAAAATTATTGACCATGAAATCAGGTATAACACTCTAAAACAAACCCCTCTGCATTCCAACCAGCACGCGTACAGGGTGGGGAGATCCACGGATACTGCGCTGTATGCCTTAACGGAGGAAATACAAGGGGCCTTTGAGTGTGATGAGGTGGTGCTCTGTGCCTTCCTCGATATCGAGGGGGCCTTCGATAACGCCTCCCATTTGGGAGTCGACAGAGCTCTTGGGAAACATAACGTTCAGCCAACCATCCGAAGATGGATAGCAAGGTTACTTCAGACCAGGATTGCCGAAACTGAAGTCGGTGACAGCGTCGTTCAAATACAAACGACGAAAGGGTGCCCACAAGGGGGGGTATTATCTCCTCTACTGTGGAGCTTAGTTGTGGACGAACTCCTACAGATACTTACGCTGCCAAGGGTACGCGGACGACATAGTGATTATCGCTAGAGGGAAGTTCGAAAGTACTCTCTGTGACATCGTCCAAAAAGGACTTAACCTTGCGAAAAGGTGGTGCATAGACGTAGGTTTAAATATCAACCCTCCTAAGACAGCCATAGTCCCCTTCACCAAGAAACGAAATCTCCAGGGGATGAGGAACTTGACCTTGGACGGGGTCGCAATCAGTGTCGCCACAGAGGTTAAGTATCTGGGGCTTACCCTGGACTCCAAGCTTCTGTGGAGGGCCCATGTTGATGCGGTCACCTCTAAGGCCACGAGAGCGATGATGGTGTGCAAAAGTCTGGCGGGTAAATCCTGGGGGTGCACTCCGAGGATCCTCAGATGGATGTACACCATGATAGTGAAACCAATAGTGACTTATGGTGCGGTGGCTTGGTATTCCAGGGCTACTATAGGAACGGTGAGGCAGACCCTCTCCAAGATTCAACGTCTGGCATGTGTTTGCATTACGGGAGCAATGCGCACATGCCCGACGGCAGCGCTAGAGGTAATACTGGAACTCGAGCCACTGCATCTCTCAATTGAACAGGCTGCAAAGCGAACCCTCCTTAACTTTGCGAGAGAAGGCTTCGGCAAAGGCAAGGTGTTATCATCTAGAAACAGGGACAAGCTAGGTACCCAGCCCCCCCCTACGCTGAAGCTTTCGGTGTCCCTGGGGACTTTCCATAGCATCTTTCAAGCGGAGGTCTATGCCATCAGTATGTGCCCTGAGATTAATATTCGCAGGAACTATAGGAAGGAAAGGATACTTATACTAAGTGATAGCCAGGCGGCAGTAAGGGCCCTCTCATCATTCGAGATCAAGTCCTCCTTGGTTAGGGAGTGTGTCGAGAGGCTCAATGCTCTGGCGGAGGTCAATGATTTCCAACTAATGTGGGTACCAGGGCACATGGGGGTCGCAGGAAATGAGGAAGCTGATCATCTGCCCAGAACGGCCGCTTCCTCGACCCCGATAGGACCTGATCCCTTTCTGGCAGTAGGACCAAACACCATAAAGGAAATGCTCAGAAGGGACAACAGCAAACTGAGGGAATTACACTGGCTTGGCACCATGGGCCAACGTCAGGCAAAAAGCTTATTAGGAGGTTACAATCTGTCAAGATACAGGCTTCTCATGGATCTCCCAAAAGAGAAACTAAGAATTATTACAGGTTTTTTGACGGGCCACTGTAAGCTCAGAGGGCACCTGCATAAATTAGGTATCTGGTCCAGCGACCTGTGTCGCTTTTGCGATGCAGCCAAAGAGACTCCTCTACACCTTCTTATGGAGTGTGATGCCGTTGCACGCAGGAGGTATAGGAGCATAGGGCATGTCTGGCCAAGAGAGGAGCACATACACTCACTGTCCCCGGGGTCTATTATGAAATTTATAGACACTCTGGGGCTGGTTGATGTATTGTGATGAGCTAGGGGCACAATAGACCTACTGGTCGCAGTGCCATACCCAACCAACTATCTATCAATCTAACTCCCAAATTAAAAACGTACAACGTTGGATTTTGTATTCTAGCAGCTGAAGGAACGTATACTAAAAATTTCAGACATGTGCTAACGATTTAAGAAAAAAAAATTTTCACAAGCAAATTCGAAGTATGTGAGAATTTCCCGTATGAATTCACTCGAATTTATTTTAAAAAAAATATGAAAATACAGACATTAAGGACCACCGAAACGCATATGTTGTGGAACTGAATAAATGGAAAAAAATATTTTTTTTATATGATATTTGTTTTTGTTATTTTTATGGCCTTATAACAATTATATTCAACAATTTTTATGAGCTTGAGGCCGTTTTCAGTGAAAACTTATTGTGGAAAAGCAAAAATAATTTGAAAAAATGGTAGAAGTGATAGCTGTTTCGGAAATCACCACATTTCCTCATCAGACTTCTTTCAGTAGGATTCGAACCGACGATCACCACTGACTCAGCCAGTTGCCTACGCACTGTGCTTTTTTTTATATGTTTTTATATTCAACCATTTTTATGAGCTTGAGGCCGTTTTTGGTGAAAACTTATTGTGGAAAAGCAACAATAATTTGAAAAAATGGCAGAAGTGATAGCTATTTCGAAAATCACCACATTTCCTCATCAGACTTCGTTCAGTACGATTCGAACCGACGATCACCACTGACTCAGCCAGTTGCCTACGCACTGT